ACTGAGCATCTTTCTCTTTGACACCATGTCTGATATCCCACGTGATCTGTCAAATACTAATGCATGAAAATCCTAACCTCAAAAAAATCACCCGATATTAATCAAATATTTTGGAAAAGATGCGCAGAACTTGGAGTCGATCACATCAACCTTTCAAAATCGTTAAGTCAATGGTAAAGCGAATTATCAACAATTGCATCAGCTTTCATAGTCGGATTTAAGCTTGCTTGTTATATACTGTAGAATATATGAGCTCATCCCCCATAAAGCGAAATCCACATTTTTCTGGGAAAAAATATTTTTGATTACTTGGAATTGAATCCCACCAAATTTTTGTTATTGTAAATATAGTGATAAGAAAATTGTATACAATTATGTATTGTATGTATGGTATAAACCAATAAATTTGCCTAAAAAAACTAATTTCAGAAAAGCTTCTTTTTTACTATAAAATGTAGATCGGCTGCTAACAAATTTTAGTAAACATTTGGAAATCTATTGGCAAAGTCTCTGAAAAAATACCAAACTAAAGGAAATTCTATAAAAATAAAATTCATTTAATTATTGATTATCTTGCACATTGGCATAGCAGCTATAAGAGAACACAATCTAATGCCCAAAAAATAAGGTGACATTGTATTCTTCTTTGTTTATTCCTCCAAATCAATTTCATCCCCTTCAAAGTAATCCCCACTAGATGTAGTACATTATGCCAACGGATTTTCCAATCTTCGAAACACTGGTTGTAGTCACTTTCCGGGATGGCCTTCAGTTCCGTCTTCGCTGCGGCTTGAATATCGTATAAAAACGGTATCCCCGGAGCGGTCTTTTGAGCTTGGTGGACAGCCAGAAGTCGCACGGCGTCAAATCAGGTGAACACGGTGGTTGCGGAACGATATGGGTTGAGTTTTTGGCGAAGTGATCATTTAATGGGAATTCTTTGCTCAACAAATTTCGACATCTCAAAAAACGAAAAGCTCACTTTTAGCAGCTCACAAAATGACACGTATCTCAAACACTAATGAATATTTTGACATGAAATTTGACATAAATGTGACTGACAGTACTATCAAGCTAAAAAAAATAATTCTCCAAATCCTTCGATGCGCGCAGTTTAAATTCAAATGTCACCTTACTTTTTTGGCACAAGTTTGCCATTTCATCATAGTATTATTTGCAAACCAATACGAAAGTGCAGTCCAGATCATCGCGGAGAGTGTCATTACCCTGTGCAGGAACAATAGTCGAAGAATCAAACACAAAGGATTATAATACACAAACGATTACGTTGAAAAATGAAGTGTTATATATTTTTTTTTGTAAAAAAATTATAAGAAAATACAAGTAATTTGGCGTTTTTAACCTCTAGTGAATTCACTTATTAGAGTTTTTGAAAGTTTTTAGGAGAAACATATATTTTTTGTTTTCTCTTTATGAGTTTATTAAAATTGAGGAAAGAATTAGGTGCTACCTTACTGTTTTGTTTTTTTTTTTTTTTTTTGTCCCAAGATACAACGGTAAAACACATTACGTAAGGATTTGAAACTCTTTAAGTGAAGTTGAGTCAAAGTTTTTGTTTGTCTCTTGAAAAAACCAAAAGCAAAAAAAAGATTATATGAAAAAAAAATTTTACGACGCTAGAACAGCCTCCACAATTCAAAATATTTTTCATACCAGAATTTTATATTTATTATTCAGTTTGTATGGCAGAAATATACTATTGTGATCCGATATATGTTTTCCAAATACAAACTTAATTTCGATCCTTGAAGTTAAATGACAGCTATAGACTATAATGGTCTGATATCGGCGAATCTGACAAATGTGCAACTTCTTAGTAAGAGAAGGACGTGTGCAAAATATCGAGAGACGAGTTCGCATTTACACAAGTAGAGGCAGATAGGGATGGTTAAATCAACTCAGCTCGTCACGCTGATCACTTATATAGCATATTTGTTTCATTTGGAATCCGACGTTTCCTTCGAAATGTTTAAAACTTCGGGGCAAACTTAGTTCTTCATGGAATAAAACTTAGATCCGTGTTCTTTATGACGATACTAATCATATACGCGTCTACCAATTGGGTTGACGTTACTTTGACAGCTTGTGAGAGTGTGTGTGTGTGAGGAGATGTCATTATCGTCTATAGATAACGTTATAACACAATGTTGACCGATTTTTTCCCACATTTGACGAGAAATGGTTCAGTCAAAATCTTCCAAATTTAACATCTTTGTATAATTTTCTCTGGGCGTGTATTAAATCTAAGGTTTTCGCCAAACAATCAGCAATGGCCGAGAAGCTCGCAAGCAACGCTGCAGCACCCGAAAATTGGCAGGAAAGAGTGGAGATATGCAAGCAGAGTCGTGGCGGCCGTTTGGTCGATATTTTGGTTAAAATCATAAATGTCTTGAAATTATCTGCAATTAAAAAGCAGAACATTTAAACCGAAGTTGACTTTTTTACTTTTTTTTAGCATAACATCGCTATTGTTGATATAGCTTTTACATAGGATCAGAAAGAATGATGTTAAACAACATTACCATTGCTTCTAATGCTCCTTTTATATCTAGACGAAGTATCAGATGTCAAAGAGTTAATCATCGTGTCCAATGTATTGCTGGAAGCTTTAAATAAAACGAATATAAAAAAATGTATAGGAAAATTAAAACTTAATATGATGACGTCATTATAATCGATAATCACTTCGTTGGAATAGTGACTTCGAACAAAAATAATATATATAAATATAAATAGTTATTAGACATTCAGAAAATAATAAATGTAGACCTTAATGAAATTGAGTGATTCTGTAGTTATTTTATTTAGATGTTTAATCATTCAATATGCTCTACAGTCTACATGATCTACACTGGACCAGAATATGTTACTGGACGAAAGATAAGCGGCATTTTTAGGTGAGATAAAGAAAATTTTAAATATAATTTGCGACAAAAAAACTTTTCGTTTAGAGAAAGAACATAGATACTTTTGGAATTGCTGGAAAAATAATGCTAAAATATATACCTGTATTTTAAAATATACCTTGTAAGAACGGGTCCTAAATGGATGTGCGGTATCTTTTTGAAGATTATTTATCTGTATGTAAATTTTTAGTCTATTTTATAGGATTGTATTTTTCCATTTTTAATACTCCTAAAAAGTCCATATCATTTCGTCTAAGCTCATATGATAGCTGCAATCGAGGGTCAAAGTATTGGTATTTTGGTTAAAAATTATTCTTTTTTTTCGAATATTGTACTATTTTAGCAAAAATTTGGACTTTGGTGGCTAACTTAGATAAACGAAAATAGTAGTATTTTACTTGTGACTCGATCTCTCGAGTTGGTATGTTGGTCCAATAGCCTGCCTAGGATTGTACAGTGTTATTATAAATAAAGTGATGACGAATATGTAAATAAGTGGATATGTAAGAAATGTAAATAAGGGATCAGCGATTGTACCGTTGGAACGACAACAAACTGTGATAACTTAGAATATCACAACATATGGCAGTTACACTTTACTCTTAGTGGGGAAAATGAGTGCATGCATGATCATCACAATCATGGAAAGTGCATTGGAGCGCCATGAAGTAACAAGAACACAGATAATTTTAATTGATTAAAATATAATAAAAAATGTATTTAAATAATATATCTTAAACAAAATTTTTTTTTAGGTTTTGTAAATATTTTATCAGTTCTGCCAACAATGATTTAATATATAATAGTATAATATGCCACAATAAAGTTTCTACAAAGTCATAAAAGTGTCACATCCATGCATACTTTTTTATAATACTCATTGCATATATTTCTTAAAAAAGCTCCTATGAGTGAAAGCTTAAAATTGTTTACTTACCACTGTAAGCTATAATCTCAATTGAAGTCAATTTAGTGAAGACTTGAAGTCCTCTCTGCACAGTTAAAATTCATCCGCTCGTTTGAAAAAGAATAAGCAAACATGAAACTCATATACTTATTAATCTTGTGTATTGGTCTCGTAGCGTCTGAAGAA